CGCTCCATCGTGTACGGTGAGGCTGAGGGGGTCCCGGGCCTGGTGCGGGGACTGCGCGTGGGATCGCCGAGGGGGCGTGGTCTAGGGAGAGGCGTTGAGATCACCTCCCCTGGAGATCCCAGCTTGGGGGAGGCTCTGCGTCGCGGCTCTGGGTGGCCTGGAACTCCCATAGACCCTTCAAAGGCCCTTCCCTTAGACGCACTCTCCCCCGCAGGGGTAAAGCAAAAAGATGGCCAAGAACTGAGTAACGACCTGGATGCCCAGGTAACCTCTCCCCTCTCAAAGGACTGGGTCACGGGACGGAGAGCAAGAGGGGACCCGACCCGTTCATGGTGACCCTCCTCTGAAACAGCAGGGACCAGGCATTATCGTCGGCAACTCATCACCCAATCTTATTCACTTTTTCACCTCTCCGTGGTTTGCGTGGCCAGGGAGCCTGCAAACAGTAGGCACTCATTATGTGTTGATTGTATTCAATGAGGGAGAGAGAGCCATGAAACTAGGCAATGAAAGGAGCCAGGATTATTGCCATGGTAGGGGAACCCCAGAGGTCAGAGAAGGCTTCCTGGAGGAGGAGTTACCAAGTCTTAAAGGATGGGGTGGAGTGCGCCCTGGGAGGGGAAGCCAGGGGTCTTGGGGTGGGGGAGGGAATGGTATGAGCAAATACTGGAAGTGGGGAAGGGATGTTAGTGGCAGTCCCTAAAAAGGCTGGGATGAGCAGGGGATTGGGGAGGAGAGAGAGGTGGGGAAATGGAACCCTTGTGTTGAGTGAGTGAGTGAGTGCATGAATGGCTTTGAAGCACAGGTGCAACGTGGCTACTTTGCTTCTTTGACAGCTTTGGTGATGGGAACACTGTGGATTTCACCTGCCTGAAAGGCTCAGTGTAGGGCTGTTAAAGAGTATAATAAAATATGTATCATAGTCTACATTTACACATATAAAAGTATGATAAAAACATAGCAGAGGGGCTGGGTGCAGGGGCTTATGCCTGTAATCCCAGCACTTTGGGAGGTAGAGGCGGGCAGATCACTTGAGGTCAGGAGTTCGAGGTTAGCCTGGCCAACATGGTGAAACCCTGTATCTGCTAAAAACACAAAAAATTAGCCGGGGGTCGTGGTGCATGCCTGCAATCCCAGCTACTTGGGAGGCTGAGGCAGGAGAATCACTTGAATCCGGGAGGCGGAGGTTGCAGTGAGCTGAGATCGTGCCATTGCTCTCCAGCCTGGGCGACAAGAGCAAAGCTCCGTCTCAAAAATATATAATAATAACAAGAGCAGAAGGTAGCATTGATTACTTCCCACATGGCGAGACTCCAGGAATTGATTTGTTTCATCACCACAGTGACCCAGGAGACAGGTCCTATTATTTATCATCCCTATTTCACAGACAAAGAAACTGAGGCTTGAAGTCACTTGCCAGGTTCACGCGGCAAGCAGGTGGCAGCTGAGATTTGAACCCTGGCCACCTGGAGTCAGAGCATGAGCTCTGACATGCCTGTCAGTCAGTGGGAACCCAGGGGGCAGGGAGTGGCTTGCCCAAGTCCCCACAGCTGGAAGTGATAGAGTTAGGATTCAAACCCGAATCTCTCTCAATCCAGATCCCCACCACTTATCCCTGGCACAGCGTGGCCTCAAAGGGGTGATGTGTCACAACACCAACAAGCATGTGGCATTTGCAGGCAGGAAGTGAGTATGGGGGTCAGGCTGGCCTCACTCAGGCAAGTCCTCCACTAAGCCTCAGTTTCCCCAGTGCAGCAATAATGTCACAGGTGTGCCCACTTCTCAGGGCAGCTATGAGGACAACTGAGGCCACACACCTGGCTCTCAGTAAGTGGGCAGTGCTCTGTGAGTTCCTGGCGAGTTAGGGGCACCCCATTCTCCTTGTAGCCAGGCCCCTACCCCAGCAAACAGGGGTAGAAAGAGGCCTGAGCCCCATCCCCAGTTTCTGCCCCTGCTATCTCCACCCAGGACCCACCAGAAGACATGAAACAGGACCGGGACATTGAGGTGAGTTGGTGGCTGTGGCTGGGGATGGGGAAGTGGGGAGGAGGACATCTGCAGGCACAGAAGCATGTCCATTAGGAAAGGAGGGGAGATATTCACTGGGGCAGGAGGAAGACCCCTCTGTAGGGAGAGAAGGGCTGATGTTTATGTTGGTACAGAAGGGGTGACCCCAGGTGGACGGTACAGTGAGCTGAGATCGTGCCACTGCACTCCAACCTGGCAACAGCGAAACTCCATCTCAAAAAAAATAAGAAAAAGGGGTGACCCCGCCCCCGCCTCATCCCCACCTGCCCCATTCCACAGGCAGTGGCGACTTCCCTCCTGCCGCTGACAGAAGCCAACCTACGCATGTTTCAACGGGCCCAGGACGACCTTATCCCCGCTGTGGACCGGCAGTTCGCCTGCTCCTCCTGCGACCACGTCTGGTGGCGCCGCGTGCCCCAGAGGAAGGAGGTGATGACCCACAACTTAACCTTGACTTTGACTGTCCTGAAGTCCACTCCCAACTCCCAGCCTCAGTGACTGCACCTCTGACCTAAGGGCTTCCATCACTGAGCGCCCAATCCCTGACCTCCAAACTCAGAGCGCAGCCCTGATCTCTGATCCCAACCCCTGACCCAGGACTGGACTTCTGACCTTCAATGTGAGAAGCCCAGTAACCCCTTACCCCAGAGCCTGACACCTGACCCCACAGTTGAACAGCTGCTACAGAAATCAAACTTGACCAGGTGCAGTGGCTTGCGGCTGCAATCTCAGTGCTTTAGGAGGCTAAGCAGGGAGGATTGGGAGGATTGCTTGAGCCCAGGAGTTTGAGACCAGCCTGAGTGATAGAGCAAGACCTTGTCTCCGAAGAAAAATTTTTTTGGGCCAGGTGCCGTGGCTCATGCCTGTAATCCCAGCACTTTGGGAGGCCAAGGTGGGTGGATCACAAGGTCAGGAATTCAAGACCCGCCTGGCCAAGATGGTGAAACCCTGTCTCTACTAAAACATACAAAAAGTAACCGAGCCTGGTGGCGGGCACCTGTAATCCCAGCTACCCAGAAGGCTGAGGCAGGAGAAGAGCTTAAACCTGGGAGGCGAAGGTTGCAGTGAGCTGAGATTGCGCCACTACACTCCAGCCTCGGTGACAGGGCGAGAAAAGAAAAAAATTTTTTAAGAGATGGAGTCTCGCTCTGTCACCCAGACTGGAGTACAGTAGTGTGATCATAGCTCACTGCAGCCTCCACCTCCTGGGCTCAGGTGATCCTCCCACCTCAGCCTCCCAAGTAGCTAGGACTACAGGCCTGCACCATCATACTTGGCTAATTTTTATATTTGTATGTGTGTGTGTGTGGAGATCAGGTTTTGCCATGTTGCCCAAGTGGTCTCAACTCCTGGGCTCAAGCAATCTACTGCCTCGGTCTCCCAAAGCGCTGGGGTTACAGGCATGAGCCACTGCACCGGGCAAAAAAAATTTTTTTAATTAGCTGGGAGTGGTGGTATGTGCCTGTGGTCCCAACTCCTCAGGAGGCTGAGGTGGGAGGCTTGTTTGAGCCTGGGAGATTGAGACTGCAGTAAGCCATGATCACACTGCCTTCCAGGCTGGGCGACAGAGCAAGACTCTGTCTCTAAAAAAAAAAAAAAAAAAGAAAGAAAAGAAACCAAATTTGACCTCAAAAACACAGCCCCAAATCTGGCCTCTGAACCTCCTGACCAGCAGTTTGCTTCCGTTCAACGCTTAAGTCTTGCAAAAGAGGCAGGAAGCCGAGCTGTGTAGTGTTTGCCAATTTTCATGGTGTAAATATTCCCACCATGGTGAATATCAGGCTATGGATGTAGTTACTGATTGAGTTGGCTTGCTCAAGCTGAGGCCAGCTGCTGCAGCATCCTGTTACCCCTGACCCTCTAACAACCCTGGGTCCCCTCTCCACACCCCCCTCCCCACCACCAACAGGTATCCCGGTGCCGGAAATGCCGGAAGCGCTACGAGCCAGTGCCAGCCGACAAGATGTGGGGCCTGGCTGAGTTCCACTGCCCGAAGTGTCGGCACAACTTCCGGTGAGGGCGCTGATCCCCAGCTCCCCTTCAGCCCTGCCCCACCCCAGCCCTGCCCCTCCCTGCCCTGGCCCCACCCTGGCCCAGCCTCGCCCGCCCTCGGACCCTCACAGCCCTGCCCGCCCCCAGGGGCTGGGCACAGATGGGGTCCCCGTCTCCCTGCTACGGGTGTGGCTTCCCCGTGTATCCAACACGGATCCTCCCCCCGCGCTGGGACCGGGACACGGATCGCCGCAGCACCCACACTCACTCCTGCTCGGCTGCTGACTGCTACAACCGGCGAGGTGAGGCTCTTTTCCCCTAACAACCTGGGCAGTCTTCATCCCCTTCTGTCCCTTTAAGTCCCCAAATCTCCACTCAGTCCACTTCATCTCCCACAGCAGCAGCCACTGCTTCCAGGTGGCCTCCGTGGCCCCCCAGTCTCTGTGGTCTTGCCCACAGGCTCTGAGGTTTCACCCCAGTGGCCCATGCCTGAGGGTCCCCATGGCCTCTGCCCCCATGGTCTCTGGGTTTGGGGCTCCTGTTTTGTCCCCTGTAGTCTTAGGTGACTCCCCATGTCCCTGGGTCTCCTGTATCTTCAACACCTCTGAATGTCCAGTCACTCTGGTCCCCATATCTTGTGGCCTCAGCCCCTCCCTACAGCCCCGAATGGCCTCAGCCCCCTCCTCCTCAGACACCTTTCCCTCCCTAGAGCCCCATGTGCCTGGGACGTCCTGTGCTCACCCCAAGAGCCGGAAGCAGAACCACCTGCCCAAAGTGCTCCACCCCAGCAACCCTCATATCAGCAGTGGCTCCACTGTGGCCACCTGCTTGAGCCAGGGGGGCCTCCTGGAAGACCTGGACAACCTCATCCTGGAGGATCTGAAAGAGGAGGAGGAGGAGGAGGAAGAGGAGGTGGAGGAAGAGGAGGGCGGGCCCAGGGAGTAACCCCTGCCAGGTGCAGACACAAACCAGACACGGTCTGTGGCTACTTTGTGTTATTATAAGATATGAGCTCAAACCGAGATATGAATGACCTTGGGGAGCCATCTGGGGCCGAGATATTGGCAGGGGGGGATTCCTGGGTCCCATTTGCAGCGCCCAGGGTCACAGATCCACGGAGGGGAAGTTCCGTGGGACCCATTGGCACTGAGCCACAAAGAAAGTGTGGCCAGGACAACTTGGGCTCTTGCTGACCAATGTCCCCTGGGGCCTAGGGGACAGAGGAACAGAGTCACAGCCTCAGGGGCCGGATGAGCATGGCGGCCTTCCTGAGAGAGTATGCCCCGCCATGAAACTCGGCCCAGTAGACACCATCCTGGTAGCGGCTTCGGTAGTGGCCGCCACGGTGCCACACACCATTGAGGTTGGAGTGGGCGCAGGCATGGTACCACCAGCCTCCCCGCTGGTACAGGGCACAGTTACCTGAGGGGAGAGAGAGAGAGAGTCCATGTCCCCTTATCAGAATAAAAGCCTCTATCTGCACCTCACAGTGTAAGGCTTTTGCCAGGCATCCCCTGGCCCCTCCTATTCTTATTCAATACAAGCCCTGATCTTCCATCTCTTCAGCAAAATAGGAGCCCTGGTCCCCAATTTTCTTCAGAGTAATAGCCTTAATTCCTTCCCTATCTCCTTATCAAAGTACAAGTCACTTCTTTCCCACCTTTTCTGCAAACTAGGAGTCTACTGCTTATTCCTTTATCAAATAAAAGAAAGTAATTATCTACTTCCTTTCTAGAATAAGAGTACTAGCTCTCACCCTCTGCTCTTCACCCAAACAGGAGTCTTGATTCTTTTTTTTTTTTTTTTTTGCTTCATCAGAGAAGGAATCTGGGCTCCCTGTCCCCTCACCAGAATAAAAGTCCTGTCCCTTGTTCTCTCGACAGAATAAAATCTTGCTTATCCTAATACTTAACAGAGGGGCGTCTTACCTACCCCATCTCCTTGTATTCCCACACCAAAACAGGAGTCCCGTCTCCCCTATCCTCCCACCAGAATAAGAGTTCTCCTTACCAGAATAGGAATCTCGGTCCCTATCCACGGTGCTGAAGGGCTTGTCATTATGCCAAGAAAGAGAATCTCCAGCATCACCATGGTATTGGCCAAGCCGCAGGCGGTAGTGGTCACTCTCGGGTTCCAGGGAGAAGCCATCATAGTGGGCACGTGCTCTACGGCCTCCCCAGTCCTCCAGGAGCACCAGCAGCTCATGGTCTTCACGGCTGGTCAGCCGATACACAGGTTCAAGGCCCAGCCAGTATTCTCCGTCTGGCTGCCCAAAGCCCAGCTGGAAGGGCAGGAAAGTCAGGAGCCCAGAACAGGCTCCCTCCCCTGCCCTGCCTCTGCCCGCCTGTGCCCACCTTGTAGTGCTGCCAGGTAGTGAAGAAGTTGACCGAACCATCCTGCCTCCGCTGGATCACAGTCCAGCCTCCACCCTCCAGCTGCTGCTCACACCATACTGACACCACGCGCCGGCCCACTCTCAGTTCATACACTCCGCTCTGTTTATGCCCTGCCTGTCGGGCCTCTGCACAATCCTGCCATGGGCCTGTAGGCACAGCGATATGGGGAGGCACAGCCTGGGCTGACCAATCCCTTCCCGGAGCAAGAGTTGAGATTCTCACAGGTCCTCTTACCAGAATAAGAGTCCTGCCTCTCAAAAACAAAAAACAAACAAAAAACAACAAAAGAAAAAACAAACAACAACAACAAAAAAAACAAAGAGTCCTGCCTCTCCCGCTTTTCTACCAAAGAGTCCTGCCTCTCCCATGTCCTCACCACAATAAGAGGCCTGCCTCTCCCATTTCCTCACCAGAATCCAAGCCTCAATAGCCATTTCCTTACCTAAGACTCTGGGTCCCTTGTCTCTGATCAGAGGAAATGTCAAGTCTAGGATTCTTAAATCCTGGTTTTTTAATGGTCTCCTCACCAGAATATAAGTCCTGAACATAGTACTCTGAACCACCTCAAACTCTTACCAAGTAGCAGTGCTAAATCTACTATTGCCTCACTAAAAATAAGAGTCCCTCTTCCTTTTCTTGTTTATCCTATTTTCACACCTTAGTAAGAAGTTTGGTCTTTTTAAAAATCAGAATAAGAGTATTATTTATTCCAGTCCTCTCACAATGAGAGAAATCTGCCACTAAAATCCTGACTCCTCAATTTCCCTCTACCCACAGTTCCTCAGCCCTGCTGCCGACTTACCCGCAGGCTTGGTAGGAACAGCAGGGTGAACTGCAGGCATGAGAGAAGCCAGGGGCTCCTGCTGTCTCAGGATTTGGTCTCTCCGGGGCTCTGGGGCTGAGTCCAGCCTCCTCCTGCTGTCATTGGTGTTACCCACAAGACTGACTGGAACCACAGGCACCAGTGGTGGTGGGGGCAGGACCTAAGGTAACAGAGAAAGTCAGGTGTAGTTGCACTGACCTTCAGGCCAGGAGGCCTGGTCTCAGGGGCAGGGATGGTGGATAAATCTCCCAGTTCCCAAATGACCTGACATCTGGCAGTGGGGTGTCCCAGCCCTAGGAATGATCCTCCCCAAAGGCTAAACAACTTGGCTTTAAAGTGCAGACAGGCCGGCCAAAGTGACTCATGCCTGTAATCCCAGCATTTTGGGAGGCTGAGGCGGGCGGATCACCTGAGGTCAGGAGTTTGAGACCAGCCTGACCAACATGGTGAAACCCTGTCTCTACCAAAAATACACAAAATTTAGCTGGATGGGGTGGCATGCGCCTGTAATTCCAGCTACTTGGAAGGCTGAGGTAGGAGAATTGCTTGAACCTGAGAGGTGCAGGTTGCAGTGAGCTGAGATCGTGCCACTGCACTCCAGCCTGTGAGACAGAGCAAGACTCCGTCTCAAAAATAAAATAAAATAATAAAGCGCAGACAGATCTAGGCTTAAATATCCGCTCTTTGTCCTCACGGCTTAACTGATCTGTGCCCCAGCCTTCTTCTCTGTAGAGATAGTGAGAGCACATCCAACAATATCCAACTTACTGACTCCTCCCACCCACCCTGTAAGGCAGGGACTGTCACAGAGCAACAATCTCTTATCCCAAACCCAGACCCAGACACGTTCCAGAATTCGGAACAACACGGCTGGATTTAGATTCAGGGAGGGTTATGTATATGCATGTGTGTATGGAACATACATAACGCCCCTAAAGGGGTTTTTGCTCTTTACGTGATAATATGCTTAATTATAGGATCCGATGACTATTCACATTAAGTGGATAAGTAAAGGCTAGAAATAGCCACCAGTCACTTTTTGACCCAAATACGTTACGAGAGGGGGCGAGTAGGAATCCGATTTTCAGGGTTTTGCAGATTTCAGAACCGCGGATAAGAGATCGTGGGGTTGCAAAAGGCCGATTTCACAGACGATGCTGCTATTTCGGGAGGCTGCGAGGTTACCTGCTGCTGTCCGCCCGCGCCCCCCGGGCACAGGCGCTCCAGGCGGGAGATGAGGTCGCTCTGCTGGGTGACGAGCTGCGCCAGCTCGCGGAACTTGACGTCTAGCTGGTGGAAGCGGGCGGCGGCGCGCTGAGCCTCGGCGGACGCGTTGAGCACGCGCTCACCGAGCAGCGCCAGCGCCGCGGCAGGCTCCGCCCCCTGGCCCGCCTCGGGCCCCGCCTCGTGCTGCAGCTGCGCGCGCAGCTGCCCCAGGCGCGCGCTCAGGCCGCGGCTCTCCTTGCGCAGCGCGCGCACCTCGCCGGCCACTGCGCCGTCAGCCGCCGCCAGCCTCTGCAGCTCGTGCAGCAGCTCCTCGTGGCGGCCGACGCGCAAGCGCAGCGCCGCCAGCTCGCTGGCGTTGGCGGCCTCGGGCGTCGCCCGCGCGGACACGGGGCCGCTCCAGCACACGGCGCCCGTGAACTTCTGCGGGGGCAGCACGAAGGTGTAGGTGCAGCGCGGGGCGCCCGCCCGCGCCCATGACGCGCCCAGCAGGAGCAGCAGCTGCAGCGCGCGCAGCCAGGGCGTCCCCATGGCGGCGGACCTGCAGGCAGAGGAGGAACGCGAGGAAGACCAGGTGCTGGGGCCCGGCCAGACCCCTCCGGTTCCACGCGGGGATGCGTGCGTCTACACCCGCGGTGTCCCTGGCCCATAATTCCCGTCACCATCTCATTCCCCGCGCGGCTGAGGGCTTCAAGGTGATCCCACTCTGGCTTCAACACCGAGCTCCTGGCGACCTGCAGGATAACGGGTCTCATGCATGCATTCATTCATTCGGCAAGCGAGGCCGGGCAGTGGCTCAGGCCTGTAATCCCAGCAGCTGGGGAGGCCGAGGCGGGCGGATCACGAGATCAAGAGATTGAGAGCTTACTGGCCAACATGGCGAAACCCCGTCTCTACTAAAATACAAAAATTAGCTGGGCGTGGTGGCACGCGCCTGTAGTCCCAGCTATTCAGGAGGCTGAGGCAGGAGAATCGCTTGAAACAGGGAGGCGGAGGTTTCAGTGAGCCAAGATCGCACCACTGCACTCCAGCCTGGGCAACAAGAGCGAAACTCCATCTAAAAACAAAAAAGCAAAGGGAGCGGGGTGCAAGGAGGTGAGGAGGAGTGAGGGAAATGTCTCACTGTCTTCCTATCCGTCGCATACTGGAAACCCCATCTTCCACGTCCTCAGACCAAAACCCCAGCAGATCCAATCCATCAGCCAGGCCTGTGTGCTCTTCTGTTTAGACCCCGAATTCCTCCACATCCCTGCTGCTCCCCCCTCCCCCCAACACCCTCCCTGAATTCCCAGCTCAAGACACCATCTGGATTTCCTGACAGCAGCTGCCTCCCTGCTCTCTGAACTTCCATCCTCAACCCCAGGTCTACTACCCACGATAGCCGCCAGAGGGCGCCGGTGAACATCAGAGTCAGTTCACGTCCCTCCCTCCTTCCCTCTGCCCAGAATCCTCGGCTCCCACCTCCTTTAGAGCAAAAGCCCAAATCTTCCCATGGCCCATAAAAACTTGCGCTATCTGCCATATCCCCTCCTGCCCTCACTTCCACGCCCTTACTCACACTAAGCAAGTTAAGGCCTCAGGGCCTTTGTTCCTGCTGTTTTTGCAGTCTGGAACACTGTTCACATTTTGTTTTTTGAGACGGAGTCTCACTCTGTCGCCCAGGCTGGAGTGCAGGGGTGCGATCTCGGCTCACCACAACCTCTGCCTCCCGGGTGCAAGCAATTCTCCTGCTTCAGCCTCCCAAGTAGCTGTGATTACTGGCGTGCACTACCACGCCCGGCTAATTTTGTATTTTTAGTAGAGATGGGATTTCTCCACTGCCCTGTGATTTTTTAATCCCAGTGCTGGAATTTTTTTGAGACGGAGTATCCCTCTGTTGCCAGGCTGGAGTGGTGTGATCTCGGCTCACTGCAACCTCCCCCTCTCGGGTTCAAGCTATTCTCTTGCCTCAGCTTCCCAAGTAGCTGGGACTACAGGCACGCACCACCACGCCCAGCTAATCTTTTGTATTTTCAGCAGAGATGGGGTTTCAACATGTTTGCCAGGCTGGTCTCATGGTGGTTCACGCCTGTAATCCCAGCACTTTGGGAGGCTAAGGCGGACTGATCATCTGAGGTCAGGAGATCGAGACCTGGCCAACATGATGAAACCCCATCTCTACTAAAAATACAAAAAATTAGCTGGGCGTGGTGGTACATGCCTGTAAACCAGCTACTCGGGAGGCTGAGGCAGGAGAATGGCTTGAACCTGGGAAATAGAGGTTTCAGTGAGCTGAGACTGTGCCACTGCCCTCTAGCCTGGACGACCCAGACCCAGTGAGACTCCATCTCAAAAAAAAGAGAGACTTGCTTGCTCTGTTGCCCAGGCTAGAGTGCAGTGGAACAATCATAGCTCACTGCAGCCTCCAACTCCTGTGCTCAAGTAGTCCTCCTGCCTCAGCCTCCTGTGCAGCTGGGACTACAGGTGTAACACTATGCCCAGGTACTTTTTTGTAGAGATGGGGTCTCACTATGTTGCCTGGGCTGGTCTCTAACTCCTAGGCTCAAGTGATCCTCCCACCTTGGCCTCCCAAAGTGCTGAAATTACAGATGTGAGCAGCCACAACCAGCCCTAAACGTATACTTCCTGATGCCTGTGCAAGCACGTGTCCTGAGGGTCTCCATCTCACACACACATTGCCTCATTTATTCATTCAACCACACATGCCTTAAGTGCCTATTTTATGCCAGGTGCTGTTTTAGGCAATGAGGACACAGCCTTAACCCAAACAGACAAAATGTCTGCCCTTGTGGAACTGACATTCAAACTGGGAGAACAGAGAAGTACGTCAAACAGCCAATGGGTAGGTCAGAGGGTGATGGTGCTTAGGAGAAAAATGGAACAGGAAAGGAGGTGACAGTCTTTGGGTTTGGAGACATTTAATAGAGGAGGCAGGGCCAGGTGTGGTGGCCCACACCTGTAATACCAGCACTTTGGGAGGCCGAGGCAGGAGGATCACTTGAGGTCAGGAGTTTGAGACCAGCTTGGCCAACGTGGCGAAACCCTGTTTCTATTGAAAATACAAAAATTAGCAGGCGTGGCAGCAGGCACCTGTAGTCCCAGCTACTCAGGAGGTTGAGGCACAAGAATCGCAGGAACCCGGAAGGCAGAGGTTGCAGTGAGTCATGATCGCACCACTGCACTCCAGCCTGGGCAACAGAGAAAGATGCTGTCTCAAAAAATAAAAATAGAGGAGTCAGGAAAGACCTCATAGAAGAAGAGACACTTGACAGGGCACAGTGGTTCACACCTGTAATTCCAGCACTTTGGAAGGCCAAGGCAGGAGGATTGCTTGAGCCCAGGAGTTTGAGACTAGCCTGGCCAACATGGCGAAACCCCATCTCTACTAAAAATTAAAATAAAGAATAAGTGGGCCGGGCGCGGTGGCTCAAGCCTGTAATCCCAGCACTTTGGGAGGCAGAGGCGGGTGGATCACGAGGTCAAGAGATCGAGACCATCCTGGTCAACATGGTGAAACCCCGTCTCTACTAAAAATACAAAAAATTAGCTGGGCATGGTGGTGCGTGCCTGTAATCCCAGCTACTCAGGAGGCTGAGGCAGGAGAATTGCCTGAACCCAGGAGGCGGAGGTTGTGGTGAGCCGAGATCACGCCATTGCACTCTAGCCTGGGTAACAAGAGTGAAACTCCGTCTCAAAAAAAAAAAAAAAGAATAAGTGACACTTTTGCAAAGACCTGAAGGAAGAGAAAGAAGAGGATGAACATCCCAGGCAGAGCGAACAGCAGGTGCAAAGGCCCTGAGGTTGGACCCAAGAAATGGCAGAAAAGGGCCAGGCATGGTGGCTCACGCCTGTAATCCCAGCACCATGGGAGGCCAAGGCAGGAGGATCATCTGAAGTCAGGAGTTCAAGACCAGCCTGGCCAACTTGGTGAAACCCTGTCTCTACTAAAAATACAAAAATTAGCTTCATGTGGTGGCAGACGCCTGTAATCCCAGCTACTCAGGAGGCTGAGATGGGAGAATTGCTTGAACTCCGGAGGCAGAAGTTGCAGTAAGCCAAGATCGCGCCACTGCACTCCAGCCTGGGTGACAAAGACAGACTGAAGAAAAAGAAATGACAGATCTGTGAAGCTGGAACAGAGTAAGTGAGGAGGGAAAGCAGGAGTGGGTGAGAGGTGACAGGGCAACATGTGAAGAGTCTTGGCCCAGAGGAGGACTTGGGTTTTACTCTGAGTCTGGTGGGAGCAGGGTTCTGGGCTGGAGACGGCCACTTTGACTTCTGGACTTGGACTCCAAGCAGGGGGCTCCCAAGGGTGGCTGGGGGGGTCCTCTCTTTGTCCCCTGATGACTGAAACTTCCCCCCCCAACCCCCGCCAACTGCCTTTCACACTGCATTTCACACTCTGCCTAGGTGGCGGGACAGCCTGAGGGCCCCAAGCCAAGCTGTGGTTGGGGTTTTCCGATAGTGAGAATCAACCTCCACCTACCTTCCCACCCTCTTACCTCTCACGCCCAAGACCCTGAATCCAGCGAAGCTCACAGGGCGCACAAGAAGTCCAAGGAAGAGTCGAGGGTCCAGTGGAGCCTCTGAGCTAGAGAAGGGTGTCCGGGGGGTGGATGTTGGGACAGGAGAGAGGAGGTTTGGTAACCACTCCCCAGCCTCCAGAGCCTGGGAGTGGAGCTGGGATGCTGGGCCCAGGAGGCCAAACTATAAATATTTAGCATTTCCCGAATGAGAAATGAGACAGAGTTGCCAGATCCCCCTGCCCAGGCCACCAGAGCGTGATAACACAGGTCAGTGTCCTGGACATCCCTCCCCTTCCCCGCCACCCTCCACTGCAGAGCCCAGAGCATGGGAGGCTGCAGGCCCTGGGGCAGCCTGGCGGGATCCCAGCCTCAGACACTCACACACCACACATAAAATGAGGAACGTCACTGGGGACTCACTGTGTGTAAGGTATGGCTTTAAACTCTCCACACCTTTTATGTCATTTGATCCTCACAACCTGAGCTGGCTTCTCTATAGCCTCATTTTACAGCAGGGAAACAGGCTCAGAGAGGGTGAGTGACTTGCCTGTGGTCACACAGCCGGAAAGAGACCAGGACGAAAACCAGCCGAGGTAGCTTGACTCAGAAACTCACACATATATACCACAGCAGTCATACACATATGGGCACATAACAGAGCAGACACAAAGACACACCCACACACACACACAAATTAACACCCAGCAAAAGTCCAGGTACAGTAGCTCATGCCTGTAATCCCAGCACTTAGGAGGCCAAGGCGGGTGGATCACTTGAGGTTAGGAGTTCAAAACCATCCTGGCCAACATGGTGAAACTCCGTCTCTACCAAAAATACAAAAATTAGCCAGGCATAGTGGCATGGGCCAGTAATCCCAGCTACTTGGAAGGGTGAGGCAGGAGAATTGCTTGACGCCAGGAGGCAGAGGATGCAGTAAGCCGAGATCAAGCCACCACACTCCAGCCTGGGGGACAAGAGTGAAACTCCTACCTTAAAATAAATAAATACATAAATTAATTAAAATAAAAAATAAGTATAAAAGACACAGTTGGACATTTTTATTTTTACTTTATTCATTTTTTGAGACAAAGTTTCACTCTTTGCCCAGGCTAGAGTGCAATGGCACGATCTTAGCTCACTGCAACCTTTGCCCCCTGGGTTCAAGAAACTCTCTTGCTTCAGCCTCCCAAGTAGCTGGGGTTATAGGCGTACACCACCACACCCAGCTATTTTTGTATTTTTAGTAGAAACAGGATTTCTCCATGTTGGTCAGGCTGGTCTTGAACTCCTG